TCAGAGGGCAGAGCTGAGATTTCTTGCTGGGTCTGCTTAAGGTGGAAAAGGGGGAAAACTCTATACTGAAGTTTATCTTCAGGATATCTGATAGCAGTTCAGCTCTGTCATCCATGTGGCTCATGGCTGGTGGAACTACTTCAGCCTACTCCGAGGTGCCAAGGTGGGGATGTCTGCCTTCCATGCAAAGCATTCCACAAGTTAATTGAGTAGAAAAGTATGATATAATTTGGATAATGAAAAAAATAGTGTGGCTTGAAGAGACAGCAAGAACACCCATTCGGATAAATGAAACCATGGATATGTGCCTAAAACCAAGAAAACTAAAATAGCACTTGGAAAGATTCAGTAAACGTTAAAAGGCGATTTGGAAACTTTGATGGAAGGGTTAAGGCAGGAGGTCAGAGCAGGGGAGATAAGAAACAGTAACAGCAGTGTCTTTTGACAGGATCTTTTAAAATGTGGGATTTGTCAGCCATGAATGAAATGCTCTGCCAAAAAAAAAAAAAATCACTTTTCTCAAAGCAAATTTGTGTGCTACTGTCCTCATGTCCTACCTGCAGGCTTTCCAGAATTTGCAGTTCAGATGGCTGTTGTAGGAAAACAGGACATTTGACTTAAAATAGGCCTTTTCTTAAAGGAATTCCTTTGATATAAGCAGCACTGCAGCAAAACCTGATTCTAAACAGGCTGGTCAGATTCGTTTGGGAAGCCCCGTGACAATTTGTTTCATCATGTTACATTGACCAGCTTTCAGCACTTGCAAAAAAGGAAGAATAAGAGTGAAAAAGAAAGCTTTGAGTTGCCAGATGTAAAGATCAGGGCTGGCTTTGAGGTAATGGAACCTCTTTCAGGCAGGGAGCCTGCTTAACCTCCTGATAGCTGTTGTATTTGGGGGCAAGGAGAAGATGAGGGGCTTCAGGGCCAGCGTGATTAAAGTTGGGGATCCCATTTGCTAGAGAGGCTGCAGCAAGCTCTTAGCCAGCTGCTTGTCAGCTTCCTCTCAACACCAGCTAAACAGATGGCTGTTGGTCATTCTGGGAGAAGTCCCACTGTAGCTTTTAGCACCTTCAGAGGGCTTTGATGGCTTCTCTGCTGCCAAGGCACAAGTTAGCATTGTGCCTTTCCTATGCTTGCTTCGCCTCACTTCCTCAGAATTATTACCAGATGGTTCACAGTCTATCTTCGTTCCCTGGGTTCTTCTGGAATCTCTTGGCAGGGCTCCTGCCTGCTTACCAGAAGGATCTCTTCGATCAGCATCTGAGGCTGAGTTAGAAATAACATCTGTGGTACTTCCCTCTGCAGGGACATTTTTGATTCCCAGTTGGGACTGAAATGAAAGGTTAAATAAAAACTGAAAACTGAGCATGTCTGAAAATCGGCTGAAACATGAAAAAAAAAAAAAAAGAGTGGTTTTAGGCAACCCAGGTCTAATCAATGATCATTACTTGTATTTTAAACACTTTTTCTAATCCAGCATGATAAAAGGGATTTATTAGATGTTATTGCAGATTTTAGTTGGTGTGTAGATTATAATAGATTAATGGAATTTGGCTTAACCTCTTTCACCGTCCAGTAGACTCAGGTCTCCTCTGATCCGTTGCAGCTCTGCATCTGCATTAATCCCCCCAGGGCACTGGGCTGAGTTGAGCTGGGGTAGCTAGCTTTGGCAAAGACAGTGAGTTTCCCGACTATTTGCACCACTTTGTTACGGCAGAATTATATGCTAGAAGAGACAGGGAGTGCCAAAGCCCCAAATCCGTTTCTCTTTAGGTCACTATGGATTTGATCTGATTATTTTATTCCTACTAGTCCCCCTGCCAAAGGTAGGTAGCTCCACAAAGGAGGGCAGGATATCTGCCAAGAAAGCTGCTCCCAGTATAACTGGGTTAACTTCAGATCCCTTTGATTGTCTACCGCTGCATCATTAGGACAGTCAGTTGTGCTGTGTGACTGATTCTCTCCTTTCTCTTCAAGAGGATGTCTTCATCCAGCAGACCCAGGATGTGAAGAACCCCATCATTTATGCTGTGTTTGCAGCCTCGGGGTGAGTGCTTCCTCTGGTACTCATAATAATCTATCCTCTAGTCTTTTTGAGCAAAATCCGCAGGCTTAACTTGAAGTCAAAATAATGGTAAAAGCAGATGCCACTGACACCATTCTGTGCATATTGGCCGCCTGCTCCCTGCTGAGCCAAGGAGGGTTTGGAACTAAGGTTGTCGCAGAATTTTTGGGCAGAGCTGGAACAAAGCCCAGAAGTTCTTGCTTGCCAAGCGTAGGGTTTTCCCACAAACCGCACCCTAGCAGCTGTAGTTGATGACTTGGTCATCTAGGGAGGAAGGCAGGTGGTGACTCCTTCCCCTCCCCAAGACACATTTTCACCCAGAAGGATCAAGGAAGCATCAGGCCCTTTCTTAGTTCAGGCAGCAGCAGCAGCAGCAGCAGCAGCAGCAGCAGCCCGTGCCATTTTCCTCAATGCTTGTAACAGTAATGACTAATCCTGGAATGTTATGTCATTGGGAACATGGCTGGATAACTCAAAAGCAGCTGTTTGGGGCTGGCCCAAAAAACCAACATTGCTTTCTCTCTCTCTCTACCCCAAACCCTTGCTAATCCAGGTTTCTTGGGGCTCTGGGTCATTGCACATGCTATCAGAGGTTTAAGGGAATTCCAAGAGCTTGCCAACAACCAAGGATGAGTGAAGAGGAATGTTCCCCCATTGCAGCCGTGAAGGGCAGAAAAGAAAAATGCAAATGACAGCTAGCATTTTTACATGAAAGAGATTATTAATGTCTGAGATGAATGTGGAGCTGTTGTTTGTCTTTCTTTGCACAGGTCTGTGTTTAAGGGTTCCGCCGTGTGTGTCTACTCCATGGCTGACATCCGCATGGTCTTCAATGGACCGTTTGCCCACAAGGAAGGTCCCAACTATCAGTGGATGCCTTACACTGGCAAAATGCCTTATCCCCGTCCAGGCACCGTAAGCAGGGGTTAGATCGCCAGTGGGTTCCTCCTCTCTCAGACTGCCTTGGGATGTTGATCCCTCTTCCAGATGAAATCTATGTTCTCCCAAGAATAAAGGTTTTATATGTGACCATTTGCCCTTTGGATGTGTACATAAACAAATATTTATGGATCAATGAGATGTATGGAAGTGTGCAAGAGTGCGTGCACATACACACAGTTAAGGATTCATTTCTGTGTATCGCTTCCATTAATAGAATTCATTTGTGAGGTCAAGATCCAAAATGAAATTCATTGATAGGGGAAAGAGTTTTTTAGATGACATGTTCTTTGGCACCTCTAGCTAAAGGATTTTAAGTACTAGGGCTAATAAAGAAGATCTCTAAGTAAAACCTCAGAGAAATACTCCATAGTTGTGAAAACTAGAAAGACCTGGGTGCTCCAGTAGTCTAACTAAGCTCTTCTCCTTTCTGCATTTTTCACAGTTACAGAGAAAGATATTACTGATGACATTCCCTGTTGGAAAATGTCTTAAGCTGTTCTTCCTGTTGATCCAACTTCTGCTTTGATAGCCCAGTTGCTTTTCTCCTTCTTCCCCGGTTCCCCTTCTGCCTGCATGCTGGGATTCTCTGACACTTATTGTATTTCCTTCCCAGTGCTTCCCCAGCCTCTTCAGTATCATGTCCTTTGGTAGAGCACAGCTCACTTCTTTCCAGTTCTGTTCAGCGCTCAACATTTGGCCACCACGTGTGAGGCTGATTAGCATTTCCTCTCTAGATTGGTGGTCTCTAGACTCACTTACTGGCATCCCTTCTTTGTTGGCAAAATATTCCAAAATAAGGAGAATTCATTGTTTCATTTCGCTGGCTCAGAGAGTGCGGTTTTCCAGTCTCTTTTACTTGTACAACCCACAGGGCCAAAAAGAGCCGGTCTTTGCTATATATGGGGAGGCTTCCAGAAAACTCAGAGAACAGGCTGGGTTTGGCTCTCGCAGCTGAGCAGCTGTTTCAGGTGGGATTAGGAGTTTTTTTTATGAGCATTACTAAAACACTCCATAATCTAAGAATTACATTGCTGTTGGCAAACGAGAGACGCACAAAGATACTTCAGCCTAAGAGGCTCAGCCTGGTAAAGAAACGAAAAGCAAACTGAGGGAGATGCTGAAAGGGTTGGATCTCTTTAAGACCAGGTCTGGAGGAGAAGGCCCGCTGGCTCCACTTGGCAACAGGTTCTCTGCCCTGTAAACTCTTTAAATCTTTCCTTCTCCCAGAATGAAAACAGTATTTTTATTTTCATTTAGTTAGTTAAGCTTACATCCTGCTTTTCTATTCAGTTGAATACCCAAGAAAACTAATAACAAAGATATAAAAATACTGAACAAAAAACCCGCAAAGCATTCTAACATGAACATACAGGCAGTCCCAGTTTAAGAACGAGTTCCATTCCCAAGGTCTGTCCTTAAGTTGAATTTGTATGTAAGCTGGGACAGTATTATTGTATATTACTGTATAAATAGTATTTTGTATTTAACTCAAATCATTTTGTATTTAACTCGAATTTTGCTACAGTAGGCTCCGTTCTTAACTATGGGTTGTCCTTAAACCAGTCATTCTTAACCCAAGGACTATAGTCCTACACAGTCCTATCCCACATTACTTTGGTAGCTGGTTCTTGTGCCTTCAGGTGAGGAACAAAAGAGAGAATCCTTTTATGGAAAGCAGCCAAGGTCCATTACATCCATTTGTTGGATTTGTATCCTGCTTTTCTTCCAGGAGCTCAGAGTGGCACACTTACCACTCCCTCCTCCAGTTCTTCCCAGGCTAAGAGAACGTGAGATTCCATGGCTGATGGTGGATATGTACTTAGCCACTATACTATACTAGCTTATGGAGGAGATTATACCGGGAGTGGGGACAAATAGAAAGCACTTGGAAGATTGGCTTCTGTAAGATGCTGCAACATCTCCCATCTGTAAGAAAGGGAGATGTTCCTTAAAAAATCATTTATATATTGACTGAACCACAGTCAATTATATTTTTGACTTTATTCTATTTTTGCCTTGGTTTTTCAGTGCCCAGGGGGGACATTTACACCCTCAATGAAATCAACCAAGGACTATCCTGATGAGGTGATCAACTTCATGCGCACTCATCCAATGATGTACAATGGTGTCTATCCCATACACCGCCAACCTCTTGTGGTGAGAACCAACGTCAAGTACAAGTTCACAACTATAGCTGTGGACCAGGTGGATGCAGCTGATGGACGCTATGAGGTGCTTTTCCTGGGCACAGGTACCCACTGATGTGCATTGAAGAGAATACACAGCACTTCCACCCACCAATCCTCAGCCTGGAAGATGAGCATTTGGGATTTATGCATAATCAGTTGGGATAGGCAGTCTAGGGGTATTCATCTAAACTTTTCTATAGCTTCTCTTCCCCAAGTTCTAGTAAGTTTCGGAAGTAATGTATCTGGCAATACAATCAGTTGGAAGGGAGTAACAGAGTTATCAAATCCCAGCTCCAACTTTTCCACTTGTACTATAATACTTTTCTGGGAACACAGGAGAGCATTTGGAATGTCTGCTTATTCAGGGTCTTGTTTGGAAAAATCAAAGGAATTCAGGCTAGAATCTACTGCTTCATAAGTCACACTTCAGAGTCCCTTTCTATATAGAACTGATTCCTCATTTCTTATGGTTTCCTGTGACACCTGCAAGGCTGCCCCAGATGTAAGAACTAGAATTCAGGTAATGTTCCCTCAGTTTGAGTGAATAAGAGTTTGACTCTAACAGAGTAAAAATATATGTGCTTCCTGGCACTATCAAACAAGGATCCCAGTGGATTCAGTCAAGAGATGGCCTTCTAGAAGCTCCAGCATAGAATTTATCTGAGCCAGCAAAGTTCCCACCAGATGTGTTGGACTTCAGTGCCCATAACCCTGACCCTGGATGGAAGGCTGAAATCTATCATACTTATTTGGAAGACACTCTATTTGGGAAGGCTGATGTAATATTATCTGCTTATGAAAACCAGGCAGTGTTGACTGACCATTTTCCTAGATTTCATTGGAGGCACTATTAACTCAAAGCATAAAATTTAGCACATGTCCAAGTCCCCTCCACTGAAGTGAATGGAACAGTATTGCTGATTACTTTGAGCATAAAAAACACACAGATCTAATGACATGATTTATCAAAATGCAGAATTAATGCAGAGGGGAGGCAAGGCTAGCAGATGGCTCCTTGTGCTGGCTTGAATCTGCTGTAGGTGAGTTACTTGCCTCCCACAAGTCAAAGGAGCCCAGCCAAATCTATACCCAGCCAACATGCCAAGCAGGCGGCCAGGAATGCTAGTAACCAAGGATGTTCCTCATTAGCTGGCAAATACTGTGTGTCTGCACAGCTGTTCTCTGGGCTGCCCAATTCACTGCACAACATCCAGCAGCTGTACACAGTCTGGCCACCACCTGTCAGAGCCTGCAGGGAGTTTCTGCTTTCTTTCTGGCCACAGGTGCAATGAATCTGAAAATCTTGGTTATTTCCTGTTGTGAAAAGAACCCAAAAAAGTTCTGGGATCGAGGAACTATCTGATGGAATTCATGGCTGTGGGTGGCATTCAGTACAGAAGGCATGTAGAAGAGGACTGGTTTGGTTGCTCAGACAGCAGGTGCTTGCCTTTAATACCATCTTCAGCCATCTGAATTCATAACAAAGCTGCAAGTTCAGCATTCAGAAGCCAGTCCTGTGAGTTTGTTATGGAAATGGCAGAAAGGAATAGCTGCCAGCCCCACCTCTATGTTTCAGAGCGTATCTAATATTTCCTCAGAAGCATTTACATCTGGTTTTTAAAATGAGTTACAAAAAAGTAATCACAACAAATATTTTTTAAAAAACACTTTTTTTTTTACAATTTAAATTTGAATATATCCAGTTGCAAGTCTTTGGATATAGTTATAAATGTTTTCACTCACTTTGAAATCTATACCCCCACATGCTACAAAATTCAAAATGGTGTTTGTGTTTTATAAGGTGAGGCCCAGTTCAGCCTTGAAGAAAGCACTCAGATCCCATATTTCAGCACAAACTAGATAGGAACTAGCAAAAGTCTTCTAGAAGAGCATTCAGAATTCAATATTCTTCTTCATTTTGTTTTTAAACCTTTCCCTCCAATTTGTCACTGCAAGGACAGCCAATTTATTTGTTTTCTTGCATTTATTTCTTGCAAGTAAAGCAAAGCCAGTAGGTAGTCTTCAACTTATGAATGTTTGTTTAGCAAACGTTTGAAGTTACGACAACACTGAAACAAGTGACCTATGACCAGTCCTTGTACTTATGACCATTGCAGCATCCCCATAGTCACATGATCAAAGTTTGGGTGCTTGGCAACCGGCATGCATTTACGACGGTTGCAGTGTCCTGGGCTCATGTGATCACCATTTGCAACCTTCCCAGCAGTCTTTTGACAAGCAAAATCAATGGGGAACCACGTGATTCATTTAACAACCATAGTGATTCACTTCACAACCACCACAAAAAATGTAAAATCAGGTGCAGTCACGTGATGCCTCGCTTAACAACCACACTGCTTATGCCAAATTTTCCGGTTCCTATTGTGGTTGTAAGTTGAGGTCTACCTGCATTTCCTTTTACGAGTGGAAACTCAAGGAAGTCCTAATGCCAGCAGTCTTCTTAGGGATAGATGAAGATCAGCCTCCCTTTCAGTTAACTGAAGAGGAAGCAGGGAACCCTCATCCTGCAAAGGTCATGATCACACATCCACTCTCAGCCCATGCTGCTAGCTGTGATTGTTATATTAGGGAGTCAAGCTGGTATAAAGAATGAAAAGGTTCTACAGAGTAATGAAATGAGGGTTCACTTTAAATACATTTTTAGTAACACTGTATTTTTAATGCATATTGACCTTGTGCTGTTTGACTAGCTATCTCATGAAATCAGTAGCCCTCATTGAAAAAAACACATTCCTTACACTCTTTTTTTTTTTTTTAAATAAGACACATCCATGTAGTTCCCTGAGATTCGTATAAACTGAAAAAGTATAAGCACAGAATGTTTCCTTGATGTTGAGTTCTTCAGTTTTTCTCTTGGGTTTAATTTATTTCTGATTGTTGTATTACATGCTTGTTAGGTTTCTTTCCTTCATCTCAGGATTGTGAACTATTCTGTAGTTCTGTAGACTCTTGCCAAGAGCAAGACTTTCTCTGTGGTGGCCAAATTATGACAAAACCTGTCAGTTCAACCAGTTCTTGTATGGAAAACTCTTCGAGCTGAATGAAACTTGACCAGCAGTCTCTTATGACAGCAAGCTAACCAGCCTTTCACAGATACTCTCCAAGTATGCAGATACTAGTCTTTAAACAACTATTAATGCTAGTTAAAACCGGAAACTACACAAAAGAGATCTAAATAAAATTTGTTTCGGTTATGTTCCAGATCGTGGCACTGTCCAGAAAGTTATAGTTTTGCCCAAAGATGATTTGGAAACAGAAGAACTGATGCTAGAAGAGGTGGAGGTGTTCAAGGTACAAGTGATACTTACTTCGCCCTAAGAATTCAATTACACCTGCTCTTCCATTAAGCACATGTGCTTGCGAGCAGGAATAATGTAGTGGCAGAATGTAAGCTATGAAGTTCATTGTTCACACTTCAGTTCATTGTTCACTTACTAAATGGCTCTGTCATTTGCTATATGGAGTCTGGATGGTGATCTCTGATTGGACCAGTATGATGGTTGGGCATCCATCCTGGCCCTCCTTGTCAAAATTATTGCAATGTGCTCTACGTGGGGCTTCCCTTGAGGACAACTTGGAAGCTGCAGTTGGTCCAGAATGCAGTGACTTAATAGTTATGGGTGCACCGTAACGGCATTACTCTGCAAACTGCAGTGGCTTCCAGTAGGCTTCTGGGTGAAATTGAAGCTGCTAGTTGTTACCTATAAAGCCCTTCATGGCCCAGGGTCAGGTTAGTTGTGTAGAAGAGAGAAGGTCCTGAGAAGGAGGTGGGAGAAGGGAAATGTTTGCTCAGTCCTGGGAAAGTAGAAAGTGTGAGATTCAGAACAGCCTTATCTTTTTTTTTTTAGATTTTTATCCTGCTTTTATTATTTTTTATAAATACCTCAGGGTGGAAAACATACCTAATACTCCTTCCTCTGCCTATTTTCCCCACAACAACCCTGTGAAGTGAGTTGGGCTGAGAGAGAGTGACTGGCCCAAAGTCACCCAGCCGGCTTTCATGCCTAAGACAGGACTAGAACTCACAGGCTCTTGCTTTCTAGCCTGCTGTCTTAACCACTAGACCAGACTAGAATCTTGACCATGTTGTCCTTAAAAAGGGGTAGTGAGGGTTTGGGACAGGCTTTCAAGTTGCTATTATTCTATCTTACTACAATAAAAAGCATTCCTAGAGTCCCTGCTGAGTGTGTTCCTTGACCTGGCCTACCACAAAGGGCTGACATTCTCCAATTATTTCTGCCCGTTGCACACGTTCCCAGAGGGCAATCATGTTCCAGATCTCTTCTTTTAAATAATGCCATCTGATGGGATCTCGGAGGTGTGCCTTCTTTGTCACTGCACCTACCCTGTAGAACAGTGATAAAAGTGGGGTAATATGTCATGTGTTGTTGTTCATCTGAGGTTGTATTTACCTACTTTTGAGAACT